TTGACAGCCTTAGATACCCTGTGGTGCAATTCCACTCTGTCCTCTAGGGGCGCTGTGAGTTGGAATTGACTAGATGGCAGTGGGTTGGGTTTGGGCTTTGCTTCTGTAAAGACTGACAGCCTTGGAGACCCTGTGGTGCAGTTCCACTCTGTCCTCTAGGGGCGCCGTGAGTCAGAATCAACCTGATGGGAGTGCATTAGATTGGGTTTGGCCAAGAAAGCATCATAGGACCATAACAGACAGTGGCCAAAGCCCCACAAGCCCACCTTGGCACCACCTGTAGGTCTTCTGTGCCACCCTTGGGCATGCTGATGTTTAGTCACCAGCGGTAGAGAGTGATAAGCAAAGTAAGTTGAATCTCAGCCTAGCAACTGCCTGGAGAAGTGACCTCGGGCTGGGGCCCTGCCTTCCCTGTGCCCTTCTCTGCCTCAGTTTCCTCCTCTGAAAGAATGGAGGTCATTCTACCCACCTCACCGGGAACTCATAGGAGTCAATGAGATCAAGCTCACCAAGCACTCAGTGTAGTGCCTGGTCCAGATTGAGTGCTCAGAACTTCCTCAGAGTCCAGCTCTTCTCACAGTGGCCCGTCTCGCTTGGCTTAGAAACCAAAGACCTCACTAGGACTCGACACACCTGTCTTCCTCACCACCAGCTGGTTCCCCCTCTGCCGTCGTCTCCTCCCCCCTTCCCCTTGCTCACTGTGCTTCAACCACACCAGCGTGCTTGCTTTCCCTGCAACACCACTACAGTCCTTTGCGCTTGCCCCAGGGCCTTTGGACTTGCTCCACCTCCACGTAGCCACACGGTTCCATTCCTGTCCCTTCTCCACAGCCTGGAGACAGTGGTGTATCATCACGGTTAAGAGCATGGACTCTGCAGCCAGTCACCATCGAGTAGCATCGTGTAGCCTCCTGGTCATGGTGACCCCGTGTGTGTCAGGGTAGAATTGAGTGTCACAGGATTCTCAGTGGCTGATCTTTCAGAAGTCCATCACCAGGACTTCCTTCTGAGGTGTCTCTGGGTAGACTCAAGCCAGGGCTTTGAACCGGTTCAGGATGGTTCCGTCATAGCCAGGGGAAACAAGGGCAGGGGATGCGTTGCATAGCAACCAAATCTCTCGTGCGTGGGATTTTGACCTGAGTAGGAAACAGGCATCAGTGCCCTGGTCAAAGATGGTGGTTGACACACATTCAAAGTGCCATGGTCGGCCTCCATCTTTGAGTTTTCCTCCAAAACAAACCAAAACAAACTCACTGCCGTCCAGTCAGTTCAACTCATAGCGACCCCTCCTTGGGTTTCTGAGGTGGTATCTCTATGGAAGTAGTCTTCCTTCTGTGGAGTGGCTGGTGGGTTTGAACTAGCCACCCTTCTGGTTAGCAGTCAAATGCCTTAGGCATTAAGCCACCAGACCTCCTTGAGTTTTCCTACTTGGGTCAAAATCCCACTTGCAAGATATTTAGTTGCTGTGCAACGTGTATGCTGCCCTTGTTTTCCTTCAGCCAGGACTGAACCATTTAGAACTGGTTCAAAGCCCTAACTCAAACCTCTAACCTTTCAGTTCGCAGCCAAGTTCATGAACAGTTTGTAACTACCCAGGAACTCCCAGGGTTGAGTTCAAATCTCAGCTGTGCTACTTCTTAACGATGTGAGTTTCAGCAATTTATTCATCTTTGTTTGCTCATCTGTAGGATGGGTTTATAAAATAAGTTCCCTCACAGGATCAGTGTGAGAATTAAAAGAGCTGTAGTTTTGTTTTTTTGTGGTTTTTTTTGTATTTGTGAAATTCATGAAAGAGAGTCTAGCACATATTAGGTATGGTGTGTTGTTGCTGTTAGGTGTCCTTGAGTCAGCTCCGACTCGTAGTGACCCTGTGTATAACAGAATGAAACACTGTCCAGTCTTGCGCCGTCCCTACGACAGTAAACATGTTGGAACCCATTGTTGCAGCCACTGTGTCAGTCCATCTCAGTGAAAGTCATCCTCTTTTTTGCTCACCTTCTACCAAACACAATGTCCTAGTCCAGGAATTGATCCCTTCCTGATAATGTGTCCAAGACGAAGGCTCACCATCCTCGCTTCTCGGGGCATCTGGATGCCCTTCTTCCAAGACAGATTCCTGGGAGTCTGGCTCCAGCCACTCCAGTTGTCTGACTCTCCCTGGATCACCAGGCACAATCCTACCCCAGGGCCTTTGCACTTGCTTCTCTTCCACCTAGACGTGTGGTTCCATTCCCTTCCCTCTGTATGAGGTGGGATTGTGTAGGTGTCACTGAGCACAGGGAGCAAGAGGAAGGATGGGAGGAGGTCGAGTATGCTGAGTTCTGTGGGCCACGGTGAGATCTTTGGTTTTTACGCCAAATGAGACAAAAGTCACGGGAGGGCTGTGCACAACCCCAGGTCCAGCTGCAGAAGTGTGTGATAAATACAGAATGCCATGTTCTTTTTTTTTATGTGTGTGTGATTTGGGTGAAAGTTTACAGACCAAATTCATTTTCCGTACAGCGGTTCACGTACTTTTTGTCTCATGACATCGACTACAATTTCCCACAATGCAACAGCTCCCCTCCCATTTCCTCCCCATAGTTACCTCTTCCCTGCGTCCTTACCTCCATGCACTCCTGCCCCCTGAGCTGTCTCCCTGTGCATACACAGTCCTTTTATTCTCCTATGATTGTTCTCTCCAAGGAGTGTATCTACCTGGTGTAAATGTTCACCTCATATGCCTGTCTGTTGTTTGGGTGAAAGCCACAGAAGTGGGTTCAATTCCAGACCTGAAGGGCAGCTAGAGGCCAGTCTCAGTGGTTCCACCAGGCTCTATCAGACCAGCAAACCTGGTCCCTTTTTTTTTTTTTTTTTCTCCAAATGATTTTGAGTTTTGTTCCACATTGTTCTCCCACTCTATCCAGTATCTCTTACATAGATCCCCCTCTGAGTGGTTGACAGTGGTAGCCAGGTACCAACTAGTTCTTCTGGTCTCATAGTTGTATAGGCTGAGGATTGCATGGTGTACCAGTTGCTTGGACTAATTGTTTCCATGAATCTTTGGTTGTCTTCATTTTTCTTTACTCTGAACAAGGAGAGACCCATCATTGCATCTAGATGGCTGCTTGCAAGCTTTTAAGATCCCAGTCGCTACTTGCCAAAGTAGGAGGGGGAACAATGTTTTGTGTAGTATGTTATGCCTATTGAGCTTGATGTCCCCTATGACTATGGTCCTGAGCCCACAGGTTCAACTACTCTCTCCCTCTGGGTAGCTGGCTGTGACCAAGAAGTGACTACAGGCTTGTCCCTTGTCAGCTTTACTATACCTGGGAAGTCTTACAGAACATGCAAATACACTTGTAGAAACATTGACCTGCCATATTCTTGGGGGAAGGCTTTCCTGGTCACTGTATCCAACATGACAACCCCGTCCACTCTCCACTCCACCTTTCTGCCTCTTTTTGGTTTCTTAGACCTTCTCACCGTCTGACAACAAGTAGATTTCTGTCTTCCCCGCTCTGGAAGAATCTAGCTGGGCAAGTTTGTGGCTGAATTACAGAAACTCTTGGCCTTGTCTTCCTCCTTTGCTCAGGAGAGCTGGGAGCTTCGTCTGCTTCTGTCAAAGCTATTTCACCAGAAAGGTTCCAAGCACGTCACAGGTGCTTTGTAATGGTTGTTGAATGAATGAATGAAGATCATTAATTTTTTTAACTTAAATATTTTTTATTTACTTAGTTGTTGTTTTCACTGTTGAGGATATACACAGCAAAACATACACCACTTCAACCATTTTTGTTGTTGTTGTTGTTGTTATATACATTTTTTTTTATTGTGATTTGGGTGAAGATTTACAGAGCAAATTCACCTTCCATACAGCAGTTCACATATACTTTGTCTCATGTCATTGACCACAGTTTACCACAATGCAACAGCTCCCCTCCCACTTCCTCCCCATAGTTACCTCTTCCCTGTGTCCATCCCTCCATGCACTCCTGCCCCCTGAGCTGTCTCCCTGTGCAGACACAGCCCTTCTTTCCCCCATGATTGTTCTCTCCAAGGAGTGTATCTACCTCAGGTAAATGTTCAACTCCTATGCCTGTCTTTTGTTTGGCTGGAAGCCACAAGTGTGGGTTCAATTCCAGACCTGAAGGGCAGCTAGGGGTCATAGACTCACTGGTTCCACCAGGCTCTATTAGACCAGCAAACCTGGTCCCCTCACCCCCTTTTTTTTTCCCAAATGATTTTGAGTTTTGTTCCACATTGTTTTCCCTCTCTATCTAGGATGTCCTACATAGATCCCCCTCCGAGTGGTTGACAGTGGTAGCTGGGCACCATCTAGTTCTTCTGGTCTCATAGTCAGTCGTACAGGCTGCAGATCACATGGTGTACCAGTTGCTAGGACTAATTCTTTCTGTAAATCTTAGGTTTTCTTCATTCTTCTTTGCTCTGGACGAGGGGAGACATGTCATCGCATCTAGATGGCTGCTTGTGAGCTTTTAAGATCCCAGAGTTCGACCATTTTTATGTGTAAAATTCGGTGACATTGATTACATTTTTTGAGTTGTGCACGCATTCCCACCTTCCCTTTCTGAGTTGTTCCACCCCCATAAACATAATTTCACTGCCCCCTACGGTTCCTGTCTAATCTTTCCAGTTGCTGTTTTCAGTTTGCTCCCACACAGATAGCTCTTAAAAAAGCATAATGCTCAAGGCTGACATTTTTTACTACTTAAGCTAAACTATTGCTTGGTTTTAAGTGGAGCAGTGGTTATATGCTTGGCTGCCAACTGCGAGGTCGGCAGTTTGAACCCACCAGCCACTCTGATGAGCCCTGTAAAGATTCCAGCCTTGGAAACCCTGTGGGGCAGTTCTACTCTGTCCCGCAGGGTCACTATGAGTTGGAATCGATGGGTCAGCAGTGGGTTGGGTTGGGTTTTTTATCGTTTGATGTCAAAGATTGTGGTTTGTATTCCTCTCCTGGCTGCTGGTCCCTTGCTCTTTGTTTCTTTGTGGTCACGATGCTGGTGGTTTCCATTGGCCAGCCTGGAGGAGGCGGGTCAGCACCTTACAAAGGTGAAGAAGACCCCTCGCGCTCTGACTTCCCCTGCTCTGCCCCTGCAGAGGAAGGTGAATACTTCCTGAAGGTGCTGATTCCCAGCTATGCGGCGGGCTCCATCATCGGCAAGGGCGGGCAGACCATCGTACAACTGCAGAAGGAGACAGGAGCCACCATCAAGCTGTCCAAGTCCAAAGACTTCTACCCCGGTGAGCCCCTGCCCGCACTCAGTCCTAACCCCTCCCCTGCCTCCCACTGGGACCCTGGCTGCATGAGCAGGGCGCCCCTAGGGCCAGAGAGGGTGGTGGTGATGCCTCTCCCCACTAAGGGGACCGAGCTGCCCCCAGCCCGAGGGAGGGACCAGGCCCAAGCAGATGGGGTGGGGGCGGGGCAAGACAATGGGCCTGCTGCATATTCATGAGCTCATTTGCATGCTGCGCTGGCAGATGTGCGGCTTTGCACACACCTGCCCCCTCGGGTCAGTTGGAGGAGCTGGGGGGGGAGGGAGGCAGGTGTCAGGGTGTCCCTGGGGCTGAGGGGCAGCCATCCGTGTTCTGCGTACCCTGCTCCCCGCCCTCCTTCTGTGGCTTTGAGTTCCTCTTTCTTCCTCACCCTGCCTAGGCCAGTCTGCGTCCTACTGATTTCTCTTCCCCGGTCCTTTCTTGTGGGTCTCTTTTGCCTCTGTTCCTGCCTTTCCTATCTCTTCTCCCCTCAACCTGCTTTGCAATCAGTGTCTCCAATGCCTCCCTCCCTCTCCACCCGTCTGTCTCTCTGGTTCAGTTTGTGCCTCCCCATCGCCCCTTCTCTGGGTGTCTCATCCCTGTCTGCCTGTCACTGCTGTTATTTCTGCCCTCCTCCCTCCCTGCCTGTCTCCCCTCTCCCTCCCCTTTTCCCATTCCCTCCAGCACTCACACTCTCCCATCTCTCTCTCTCTCCCACTCTCCCTCCCATCTCTCTCTCTCTCTCTCTCTCATCTCTCTCTCTCTCTCTCTCTGCCCTCTCTCTCTCTCACTCGCTCTCTGAGCAGCTCACTCTCATCAGCCGTCCATTCAGCCCGTATTCCGTGAGCCCCCTCAATGAGGTCATTTTCCTGTACAGTTGCCTCTCTTTCTGCTCCCTCCTGCCCATCTCTCCCTGTCTCCCTGGGTGAATCTTTCTCCTGCGTCTCAACCTCTTCCTTTTTGTTTCTTTTTTGTGATTTCTCCAAACCCAGCCCCTGTTCTGCCCTCCTCCAGCTCCCTCTCTCCCCCGACTATTCACCAGTGGCTGTGGAGTTGCCTCTGACTCACGGCAACCCCATGGGTGTCAAGAGTACAACTGTGCTCCCTTGGGTTTTCAGAAGCAGGTCACCAGGCCTTTCTTCCCTGGGTGGACTTGAACCTCCAACCTTCCAGTTAGTGGCTAAGTGCTTAACCATTTACACCACCCAGGAGCTCCCTAACCATAGTGGCCACAGATTGTTCAAGGCCCCTCCACTCTCTCTAACCCTCCTCAATATTTCCCTCCAGTGACGAGCGCCTGAGCCTTGGCCTCTCGGTTTCCAGAGAAGGTCCCTGAATTGCATCTTTGGTCCAACACCGGTTCAGGTGCATCCTTAATCCCGTTGGATTTTTTAGGTCAAACAGCAGGGCTAGTGTCCAGAGTCTGGACACACACTCATCTCTCTCTGTCTCTCTCTCTCCACCCCTCATCTCACTAAGCAGCTTTGGCAAGAGGTTTAGAGAAAAGTCCAGGGAACTAGGCACACCCCCTCCCTTTCTCATCCACCCTGGCCCAGTTTCCCCCACACCCGTCTAGCCCACAGGATACAGATCTCAGAACTCAGCTTGGGGCATTCATCTGTGGACACTTGGTCCTTTGCCTGTGGATGACATTCTGTGACAAGAGAGACCATGTGGTGTCCTCTCAGTGCACCCCATGGACCAGGCAGCTGAGAACCCCAAAGGGTGGGACAATCATGGGTTCTCCAACACCAGCCACTATTCGACAAACAACAGGAGCTGACATTTCTCCCCAGGCCCGCTATGGACAGAACTTGCAGATCATAAAGCTTGGGCCACCTCCTGACTCAGAAATGCAAGACACAGCCCCTGTATCCTAGTCACCTCCCTGGGACCTCCTGGGACCCATAGGAGCACAGGAAGTTGAGATGCTACTACACAAGATAAAAAGCATGTTTCCTTCCACTCCAGGCAGACACCTTGTCATCCATTCATTCATTCATTCAGCACCCATTCTCTGAGCATCTCTGTGGAGCCAGCTCTGTGTCGGGAAGAGCTGGGGACACCACAGTGACTGAGACAGCCCCAGCCTTGCCCTCATGGATCTCACAGCCCCAAGAGGGAGACAGAGACCAGTGGTGATGCAGAGCTGGCAGGCCAGGGACAGGGCAGCTGAGAAGAAAATGGGAGCCTAGGCAGGACACCTGCCCCAGCCGGGGGTCAGGAAAGGGTTTCTGAAGGAAGAACTCAGAAGGATATGTAGGTGTTTCAGGAAGATGAGCTGCGTGTTCAAAGGCTGGGAAGGTGGTCTGTTCAGGGCGGCTCAAGCACAGTCAACAGATGAGAAATAATGACGGAGAAGATCCAAAGAGTCCTCCATGCCTTCACTCACACACACCCACACACAAACATGTACACACACCCACACGGGACTTGTGTGTCTATCACCAGAAACAAAGGCCTACCTGGCCCTTAGCCCCATACAAGGGGCCAAGACATTACACAATACACAAAGGGTGTCTTCTCCCTGGTGCATGAACCCCAAAACCCCAGATTCATTTCTTTTAGGTCATACACAGAGACCCAGAAAGTGCCAGGTACCTGCCCAAGGCCATGCGGACCAGTGCCAGCCCAGACCACCCTCAAAGAACCAGCCCCACTGCTGTTGAGTCAATTCTGACTCATAGCAACCACATACATTATAATAAAGTAAAACTGGGCTCCACAGGCTTCTGTGGAAGCCGACGGCTAGGCCTTTCTCTCATGGCACCACTGGGTGAGTTTGAACTCTCAAACTTTTGGTTAATATCAACCACAAACCATGTGCACCACACAGGGAGCTAACACTCTGTTGGTGGTGGTGTTATGTGCCATTGACTTGGACCCGACTCATAGCAACCTCTCCTTGGGTTTCCGAGGCAGTATCACTATGGAAGCAGATTGCCCCATCTTCCTTCCCAGGAGTGGCTGGTGGGCTTGAACCACCAGCTTTCTGGTTAGCAGTCAAGTGCCTTGGGCACTGTGCCACCAGAGCTCCTAAGATCACTCTACTGATTCTTTTTTTTTTTTTTATTTTTATTTTGATTTGGGTGAAGATTTACAGAGTAAATTCACTTTTCATACAGCAGTTCACATATACTTTGTCTCCTGTCATTGACCAAAATTTACAATGCAACAGCTCCCTTCCCACTTCCTCCCCGTAGTTACCTCTTCCCACTGTCCATCCCTTCATACTCTTCTGTGCCCTGAGCTGTCTCCCTGTGCATAAGCAGCCCTTCCTTCTCCCATGATTGTTCTCTCCAGGGCGTGTGTCTACTTGAGGTAAATGTTTAACTCACATGCCTGTACTTTGTTTGGCTGGAAACCACAGGTGTGGGTTCAATTCCAGACCTGAAGGGCAGCTAGGGGCCATAGTCTCAGTGGTTACACCAGGCTCTATTGGACCAGCAAACCTGGTCCCCCCCCTTTTTTTTTTTTTTTTTTGCCTCCAAATGATTTTGAGTTTTGTTCCACATTGTTCTCCCTCTCTATGCAGGATCTCGTACATCCCTTCCAAGTGGATGACAGTGGTAGCCGGGCACCATCTAGTTCTTCTGGTCTCATAGTTGTATAGGTTGCAGATCGGATGGTGTACCAGTCACGAGGACTGATTGTTTCCATTAATTTTGGTTTTCTTCTTTCATCTTGACGTGGAGACACCCATTGTTGCATCTAGATGGCAGCTTGCTAGCTTTTAAGATCCCAGTCGCTACTCGCCAAAGTAGGAGGTGGAACAATGTTTTGTATAGTATGTTATGCCAATTGAGCTTGATGTCCCCTGCGACTATGGTCCCAAGCCCGCAGGATCAACTACTCGGTCCCTCTGGGTAGCTGGCTGTGACCAAGCAATGACCATAACCTTGCCCCTTGTCAGCTCTACTATACACCTGGGACTCTAGTGATTCTTAAAGCTGATCCCGATTCGGGGCATCTGTCTGAGGCTGTGACCCTGCCCCCAGAAGAAAAGCACAGACACACATGTTGTTGTTGTTGTTTAAATTATAATGATTTATGACATGCTGGCATTAAAGTGCAAAATCCTAAGTGACTCCTTAATAAATTCACACACATTCGTTTTTTAATATCAGAGATGTAAAACCCAAACTAGAGTCCCTATATGTCCACACACACACACACACACACACACAGGGTTCTTCAGTCCACACGACTTACCCCTTTGCACAGGGTGGTTTGCGTTCCACTGCTAACCTGAAGCTTGGAGTTATGAGCCCACCCAGTGTTACTGCAGAACCAAGGCGTGGGGGGTCTCTTTCCATAGAGTACAGCCCAGAAGACCCTGTGGAGCAGTTCCACTCTGGGACACTCGGGGGTCACCATGAGTCAGAACCAGTGGCTACTGTCAACAACAACAGACTGTGAAGCCAGGCCCCTGGGTTCCGATTCCCCGCCTTTCACCACCAGCTGAGTGAACTTGGCCAAATCCCTTTACCCTCTCTGTGCTTCAGTGTCCGTAACAGTAAACCAGGGATAATAATATTGCCAGCCTCATACAGTAAGTGACTTAAGGTATGTAAAGTACTTAGGGGGTGCCTGGCATGTGGTGTTATATAGGTGCCAGCTGTTATCATTCAGCGTTCTTTCAAGGTTTCACCAAAGCCCCTGTGGCCCCCAGGTTAAGGATGACAGAGAAGGAGCTGGTGGTCCCAGACTTCCTGAGCTGAAAGAGAGACTGAGAACCTGGCCACTTTGGCCGGGCTCTGCCCAGGGCTTCCCCCTCCCCAACCCTGCCCCCAGTTCCCACCGTGCCCCACACCCTTTCCTATTTACACCCCAGACGGAGGCAGCCTGCACGCTGACTCACCCTTGGCTCAGGCCAAGCCATTGTTCGGGGGTGGGGGAGCAAGAGGGAGGCCCAAAGGAGGTGGGGGATGTCGGCCGCACAAGTGACCCACGGACAGGGACACCCAGCCACATGGCGAGGCTGGCGGGCCAGGCAAAGGGTTGAGGGGGTGGTGGCAGTGTGCCGCCGGGGGGTGCTTTCAGGACACTGGACACTCGTCCCCAAGTGTCCCAGACAGGAGGCACAGGAGGCTGGCAGTGGACCCAGGCACCTAAGTGGGTCTCTCCCAAGGAGACACACACTTACTCCCCACACAAAACTGAGCCAGGCTCACCTAAAGCATCACATTCACCCACGTACCAGTGTTACACTCAGTCACACACATGAACAGACACATTGGCCAGTGACCTGAGCCTTCTCTTTGCACACACACCCCTCCCGTTTCTCTCTGCCCACCTTCTGTCTCTCACACGCACAACACACGTACTTCTAACTTGTCTCTCTCTCTATACGTTTCTCTCCCTCACGTACACACACTCACAACACACATACCCCTGCTCTCTCTACCTATTCTCCATCTCCCTCGCTCTCTCTCACACACACACACATTCCCACCACACACACAGCCCTGTCCTGCTTGTCCCCCTGTCTGTCTCTCTCTGGCACTGTCTCTCTGGCCCTCTCTGTCTCACGCACACGTACACACACTCCCCTCTGTCAGTCTCGCCTGTTTGTCTCCTGTACACCCACGAACACACATATTTACACATACCACATGCCAGTCATCCAGACTGTCTGTGAGCACCTCGAGGGGCTGATTGTTTCACGCACACACGTGCACACACACCCACGCGGACACACACCATCGTACGGTCTCAGTGTGGGCTGCGTTCATCTTACGGCCTCAGTGCCGCTCCGTGAGGGTCTGTGTTTCCCTTTTCCCTGAACTCTGCTGAACACTCAGCTCCAGTTCACAAAAAGCGCGTGCCCGGCTCAGATCATCACCGCGGCGCCCAGGGGCTTTCCCACACACAAGGGCGCGCACACGCATCTTCACCTGAATCCCTGTGTCAACGGTTTGTTCCTGTCTCAGCCTCTCCTGTTGTTTCTCTTTTACACACTAACACAGATAAAGGCATCCAAGTCGGCCCCACCCAGGTAGAAACAGGTGCGTGTGTGCACGCATGCACACACACACACACACACACAAACTGGTTGCCCAGTCAGCCTCATGGAGGTACACACGCTGGTCACAGTGTCACGCAGTCTCCCTGCCGTGCACGGACATCCTAGCACCACCCAGAGTTAGTGTAATCCCCCCCACCCCTTCTCTTTCTCTCTCCCTCTCTCTCTCTGTCTCTGTCACACACACACACACACACACACACACACACACGAGAAAGATGCCCAGGTCAGGACCACAGACAATATCCAGAGAGTCTCCTCCAGCCAAGGCCCCGCCCAGCTTTCATTCCCGGGACCCCAGTCCCCACCCCACCACTCACTGCCTTTGACCCACCCTGCTCTCCCCTTTCCCCAGCCCTGCCCTCCCCCCCACCTCCCAACCTTCCATCTGGTGGGTCCCCGCAGCCACTCAGGCCTCTCTTCCACCTCCTCCACCCCCGCCCAGCCCTTCCCCATCCTCTCCAAAAGCCCAGAGGCCTTCGCTGCGGGCTTTCAGGGGTTGCCATGGTAACGGGGCCTCGTCCCTCATCCCCCTGGGGGTGGGCCGAGGACCCGGCCAGTCAGACTGATTAGGGGGTTCCAGTTACTGTGGCAACCGCTGCAGGCCTGAGCTCTCCGCTCCTAGAAGGGGGTGAGGTGGGGGACAGTGAGTGAATGGTTGCCAAAGCAACCAGGAGCGGGCAAGGACTGGGAAGAGGCAGCTGAGCCCTGTCGCCCCCTGCCCAGGGCTGCTGCGGGCATCAGCAAGCACTTAGGCATCATTCTTCCACCCACTGGCATTGTTTTAGGGGAGGCAGAGGAAGTGTAGGTTATAAAACAAAGGGATTCCCTTCATTCGGCCAGCTGCCCATCATGGTCTGAGAGCCCAAGCCAGCTTGTCCCGGCTCCCCGTGTGGACTGGGGCCAGTCAGGTAGTCTCAGGCCTGTCTCTGGGCCTCAGTTATCCCCTTCCGTTAAATGGGGCTTGTCTCAGAAGAGGGAGCTCTGGTGGTGCAGTGCCTAAGGCATTCGACTGCTAACCACAAGGCTGGTGGTTCAAACCCACCAGCCACTCCTCGGAAGGAAGATTGGGCAATCTACTTCTGTAGAGATACCACCTCAGAAACCCAAGGAGGGGTCACTGTGAGTCAGATCCAACTTGACGGCAGTGCATTGTTGTTGTTTTCATTTTGTTTCAGAAGAAAGGCCTGACAGTCTACATCCAGAAAAAAACCTGCCATTGAAAATCCTATGAAACACAGTTTGACTGACGCATATGGCGCCATGAATTGGGCCGACTGGATTGGCAGTTCGTCCATTGCTGCCCTCTCAGGGCTGTCCCCACTCTTGTCTGACGTGTCTGCCTGCTCTCTCTGCCTTGACAGGAACCACAGAGCGCGTGTGCCTGGTACAGGGCACAGCAGAGGCCTTGAATGCCGTGCACAGCTTTATCGCCGAGAAGGTCCGAGAAATCCCACAAGCGATGACCAAGCCTGAAGTCGTCAATATCCTTCAACCCCAAACCACGATGAACCCCGACAGAGCCAAGCAGGTCAGCTGGGGCAAACTGGGTTGCTGTAAAGCTGGTGATGAGAAGGAGACACTCTTCCCCTATCACTGGATCTCTGTGGGGTTCAGTGGGATAATCCCTATCCAAAGTGTATCAAATAGTAGTGGTTATTATTATTAGGAGGCCTGGTGACGCAGTGCTTAAGCGCCATGCTGCTAACTGAAAAGGTCGGTGGTTCGAGCCCTCCAGTGGCTCTGCAGGAGAGAGCTGTGATAGCTTCTGAAGATTACAGCCTCATTTCCAACCCAAAGGGGGCAGTTCTACTCTGTCCAGTTGCGTGCGTATGAAATCAGAATCCACTCCAAAGCAGCTGTTTTCATTATGATTAGCAAGTAAGCCCTAATAGAAGACTCCAGCCCTTTTAGATTTGGCTCTGATTCAGAGGAAGAATGAAGGGCTGGGAATATTCGGCCCAGAACTCCCACTTATCTCTCCGTCCAGGGATTCCATGATTCCGTGGATCCTCTGCCCCCCTCCACCGCATCCCATTGTCTATCTGAGCACCCTGCCTCCCACTTCCGGTTGTCAACGGAAGTGACCTCAGCGACAACCCAGCCACGTCCTGCAGAGTTTAAAATGGTCTCTCCTACGCCCTCCTCCCTCCCATTAGTTAATTACAGTATGGGAGTATCACCATTTTGGGGAAAGGGCCGTTGGCGGGTCCCGGGTGTGTCCTTCTCCTACATAGACCTCTCTTGGAAGAGGGAGGGCAGCGCCTCTCCGTTGCCTCAGTTACCAGGAAGCGGTGGCGTAGGGGCGTGTCAGGGAGCCGGCCAATCGAGCCCCAGGACTCTCCGGTTGCCATGACGACGGTGCGCACCGGGCAGGTGGGCTCACAGCAAGGCCCCAGGCAGCGCGGTCCTGACCCGGTGGAAAATGAAGGGGGAGGGAAACGCGGGGCTGGCTGCGCGCGCGCGCTCCGATTTTCCCTCCCCTCGGCGCTCCCATACCCATGAGAACTTGTTGCTAAGGAGCCAGAAAGTCCAGGGTGGCGGGCAGGCCATTTGCAAGGCTTCCTTAACGTCAGTCTAGAGGCAAAGACAGGAAAGATGGTCTCGTTAAAAGGGCTCTGGAATTCTTGGGTCCTGTCTTTGAGCCAAGGTGGAGCAGACCACGAGCCTGAGTTCCCCAAAGCTCCTGGCGAGACAGTGGGCGGAGAGCCCTGGAGGAGTAGTCCAAAAAAAGATGTGCGGGTTTGGGCGTGGAACGCGACTGCTGTCCTTGGTGCTGAAGCGGCTCCGCTCCTCGCACCCCTCAGGGCCTTTCCTGAATCCCTTCCCACCAGTTTACGGACAGATTGTGGGCAGAACAGGGCATCGCCTCTTCCCGTTCCACCTCGGTCGTGGCCACAGGGGCTCTGGGTTCATCATCAATAGTTTGTGGATGTTTCAGGAAAAATGGGGTCGGTAGCATCTGTGCTGGAGCCTGCCACCGTCACCCCTAATCCACAGGAGTTCAGAGAGTGCAGTAGAAAGGTTCTCTGTGCCTATTACCCTGGAGGGAGCTCTGGTGGTGCAGTGCCTGAGGCATTTGACTGCTAACCAGAAGGTTGGTGGTTCAAACCCACCAGCCACTCCACTGAAGGAAGAAAGGGCAATCTATTTCTGTAAAGATTTACCACCCAGGAAACCCATTGGGGGTCGCTATGGGTTGGAACCTCCTCGACGGCAGTGAATTTGGTTGTTGGTTTTGGTTTTTACCACCAGGGCTCCATGGTTGAAGGGTAAGGCTTCAGAGCTGCAGGTTGAGTTGAATCCTGAACAAGTGATTTGATTTCTCATTGCCTCATTTTTCTCATTTATTAATGGGATTCATTATGATACCTACTGAAGAGGGTGGTTAGTGTTCTTTGGTGTGTGGTAGACACATAGCAGGTGTGTCTAGTGCATAGAAAGTTCTCCCAGAAGTGGTGGTGTTGTTGTTATGTGCCATCGTGTCAGACCTGACTCATAGCGACCCCTCCTTGTGTTTCTGAGGTGGTGTCACTACGGAAGTAGATTGCCCAACCTTCCTTCCGAGGAGTGGCTGGTGGGTTTGAACCACCAGCCTTCTGGTTAGCAGTCAAGTGCCTTAGGACTACGCTACCAGACTCCTCCCAAACGCGTTAGCTATGGTTATTGTTATTACTGGATTTTGGAGTCCGGAGGTAGGTCTACTCCCTTTCATGCTTTCGATTCACTGTGTCACTGTGGGCCCCCTTACCTTCTTGATGCCTCAGTTTCTCTTTCTGTGCAGTGTGTCAACTGGGCCAAATCAGGGAATATAAATTGAAATGCCTGCAAGAGCTAGGAAGGGAACCTACAAGCTACCACTCAACTCCAGCCGATTCTGAACTTTTGGGAACATTGGACAGAGTGTGGCCACCTCTTCCAGATTTTTTCAAAATAAACCAGAAGTCTTTCAAATCAACCGATATTAAAAGATTGAATCAATGTTTTAAAACACCGTGTGGAGCAAAGAAAACATGGCGGTGGGCTAGCTGCAGCCAAAAGGTCACCGTTTGCCGCTTCTGGGCTAAACTCATGGTCCTCAGCCCTGGCTGGCATCTGAATCAACTAGATAACTTAAAATGCAGATTCCTAGGAACCAGTCCAGAGCCACTGAGTCAGAATTTCTGGACATAAAGCCTGGGAATCTGAGCGTGTTCTCTGTCCTGGGAGCTGATCCTTACTCCCTTTGTGTCCTTGAGCAAGTGACTTAACCTCTCTGTGCCTCTGTTTTCTAATTTATGAACTGTGATCATAGTGTTTACCTTCTAGAATTAGTGAGAACATTAAATAAGTCACTATGAGACTGTTTAGAAAAGTGCCTGGGAAATGATAAGCAGTATGTTAGCTGTTGATACTGCTGGTGCTGCTGTTGTTGTTTATTATTTGAAAATCCCCACAGGCTTGCAAGTCACTGCTGCAGTCCCTGAGGCCCTTCTGGCTCTAAAATTCCTAGGAGCCTATGGCTCTAGGGTTCCAAGATTCTAGGCATACAGGTCTCCCCTGCTTTTTGAAAGTTCACTTTACGCCACTTTGCTTTTCCAAAGACTTACATTAATACCTGTTTTCGCCAACCAAAAGAAATCCAAAGTCCATTTTGGCTTTTAAGGAAAAAAGACGAAAAGCAGACCTAGTGTTCAGCGTTTGTTTTGCAGCTAGCTGTTAAAGAAGCAGTAAGCACTCCCCTTCCCGGGAACTGCAGTACAATAATTCAGCATCAAGCCGCCATAGCTTTGAACTCTGTCTGTGAACACTCTATGCTAGTGTTAGTTTAAGTTTTATGTGTTATTTGGTATGGCTTCAGAAGTTATTTTGTGGGTCTGGGAAAGAACAAACATGTTTCCCATATAAATTAATGGTAATTGGTTCTTTGTTTTATGCCATTTCATCTTACAGAAGATTTCATAGGAACACTCTGCTTTCAGATAGTGGGGGAAACCTGTATAGTGCAGTCCCCAGGTGGAGCAAATGGTTAGCACTCGACTACTAACCAAAAGGTTGGCAGTTCAAACCCAGCCAGAGGCACCTGAGAAGACCCAAAAAAAAAA